GTCTATATCTAGTCTATAGTCTAGTCTATAGTCTAGTCTATAGTCTAGTATAGTCTAGTCTATAGTCTAGTCTATAGTCTAGAGTATAGTCTAGTCTATAGTCTAGTCTATAGTCTAGTCTATAGTCTAGTCTATAGTCTAGTCTATAGTCTACTCTGTAGTCTAGTCTAGTCTATAGTCTAGTCTATAGACTAGTCTATAGACTGTAGTCTAGTTTATAGTGTATTCTATATTCTAGTCCATAGTGTATTCTATAGTTAGTTAGTTAGTTAGTTAGTTAGAGTAGTTAGTAGTTAGTAGTTAGTTAGTTAGTTAGTTAGTTAGTTAGTAGTTAGTTAGTTAGTTAGTTAGTTAGTTAGTTAGTTAGTTAGTAGTTAGTTAGTTAGTTAGTTAGTTAGTTAGTTAGTTAGTTAGTAGTTAGTTAGTTAGTTAGTTAGTTAGTTAGTTTAGTTAGTTAGTTAGTAGTTAGTAGTTAGTTAGTTAGTTAGTTAGTTAGTAGTTAGTTAGTTAGTTAGTTAGTAGTAGTAGTTAGTAGTTTAGTTAGTTAGTTAGTAGTTAGTTAGTTAGTTAGTTAGTTAGTAGTTAGTTAGTTAGTTAGTTAGTAGTTAGTTAGTAGTTAGTTAGTTAGTTAGTTAGTTAGTTAGTTAGTTAGTAGTAGTTAGTTAGTTTAGTAGTAGTTAGTTAGTAGTTAGTAGTTAGTAGTTAGTTAGTTAAGTTAGTTAGTTAGTTAGTTAGTTAGTAGTAGTTAGTTAGTTAGTTAGTTAGTAGTTAGTTAGTTAGTTAGTAGTTAGTTAGTTAGTTAGTTAGTTAGTTAGTAGTTAGTAGTTAGTTAGTTAGTTAGTTAGTTAGTTAGTAGTTAGTAGTTTAGTTAGTTAGTTAGTAGTTAGTTAGTTAGTTAGTTAGTTAGTTAGTTAGTTAGTAGTTAGTTAGTTAGTTAGTTAGTTAGTAGTTAGTTAGTTAGTTAGTTAGTTAGTTAGTTAGTAGTTAGTTAGTAGTTAGTAGTTAGTTAGTTAGTTAGTTAGTTAGTTAGTTAGTTAGTTAGTTAGTAGTAGTTAGTAGTTAGTTAGTTAGTTAGTTAGTAGTTAGTAGTTAGTTTAGTAGTTAGTTAGTTAGTTAGTTAGTTAGTTAGTTAGTTAGTTAGTTAGTTTAGTTAGTTAGTTAGTTAGTTAGTTAGTTAGTTAGTTAGTTAGTTAGTTAGTTAGTTAGTAGTTAGTTAGTTAGTTAGTTAGTTAGTAGTTAGTTAGTTAGTAGTAGTTAGTAGTAGTAGTTAGTTAGTAGTTAGTTAGTTAGTTAGTTAGTTAGTTAGTTAGTTAGTTAGTTAGTTAGTTAGTTAGTTAGTTAGTTAGTTAGTAGTTAGTTAGTTAGTTAGTTAGTAGTTAGTTAGTTAGTTAGTTAGTTAGTTAGTTAGTTAGTTAGTAGTTAGTTAGTAGTTAGTTAGTTAGTTAGTTAGTTAGTTAGTTAGTTAGTAGTTAGTTAGTTAGTTAGTTAGTTAGTAGTTAGTTAGTTAGTAGTTAGTTAGTTAGTAGTTAGTTAGTAGTTAGTTAGTTAGTTAGTTAGTTAGTAGTTAGTTAGTAGTTAGTTAGTTAGTTAGTTAGTTAGTTAGTTAGTTAGTTAGTTAGTAGTTAGTTAGTTAGTTAGTTAGTTAGTTAGTTAGTTAGTTGTAGTTAGTTAGTAGTTAGGTAGTTAGTTAGTTAGTTAGTTAGTTAGTTAGTGTAGTTAGTTAGTTAGTTGTTAGTTAGTTAGTTAGTTAGTTAGTTAGTCTTTAGTTAGTTAGTTAGTTAGTAGTAGTTAGTCGTTAGTTAGTTAGTTAGTTTAGTTAGTTAGTGAGTTAGTTAGTTAGTTAGTTAGTTAGTTAGTTAGTAGTTAGTTAGTTAGTTAGTTAGTTAGTTAGTTAGTTAGTTAGTTAGTTAGTTCGTAGTTAGTTAGTTAGTTAGTTAGTAGTAGTTAGTTAGTTAGTTAGTAGTTAGTTAGTTAGTTAGTTAGTTAGTAGTTAGTAGTTAGTTAGTTAGTAGTTAGTTTAGTTAGTTAGTTAGTTAGTTAGTTAGTTAGTAGTAGTTAGTTAGTTAGTTAGTTAGTTAGTTAGTTAGTTAGTTAGTTAGTAGTTACTTAGTCAGATAGTTACAAATTCTAGCAAATTAAAACAACTGTTTTCATTGTATACACAAAACCACTTATCAGCTTATTAAAAACCACTTCATGCCTATTTTAATATATGTTCCCGGTTAAAAATCCCCATAAACACCTTTTTATCTTAGCATGAATGCTTTTTTACAAATTTGTTAGCAAAATCACAAAAAAACACAAAAGTTTTAAACTCATTCGTTAAATTTTTACAATCACAATTTTTGAGGTGATAAGAACATTTTAGCTGGAAAAAAGATAAATACCAATAAATATGTATTTTTTTCTAGATATTAAATGAATAATGCTTTAAATCATTTTAGTATTGAATAGATTGTCGATATAAAAAACACGCTAAAACAAAAAATTATAATATCAAACTACAAACCAGAAAAATACTTTACCAAATACACTACTTGAGTTGAGGAACACGCATTAATAATAAAAAATTAATTAAAATATTTGCAAATAAATGTGTTTAGTTAAATGTAAGGCAAGATAGAATAGAAATAAGTAAGAAAAAAAAGTGTTGGACTTAGCCGACTATGTGAAGTTCTACAATAGGAAAAGATTTTTTGTTTCAAGTTTCATTGAATGTATTACAGAGATAAATGTTTTGAAATTTATTACAATACTGTTATTAATATGACATTTCTAAGTGTTAGAGATATTTTCAAAAGCAGACTTAACTTTATTTAGCCACCTTGATTCAACTATGTTCCATACATCAATGTAAAAGGTAATCAAGGCTACAGATCGAGAATTGCATATAATTCAATGTAAATGATGGTTTGTTGGTGGTTGTTCTTCATGTTAGAAGATTCTGATATTGATGCTGTCATGATGCTCTTGTCAACGTATATCTCCAAAAATTTGATACAATATTGTTCTAATGGTCGAATGAATTGGTTTAGTTCGCATATAAAGTCTTTGAATATGTATCGAAATCAGATAGTGATTTGGTATATGTACGTAATTACGGCTCGCTGTTTGGGTATGGGATACATACATAGAATTGAACTAGACTGAACTAGAACCGGACTAAACTGAACTGAACTAACTAGAACTGAACTAGAACTGAACTAGAACTGAACTAGAACTGAACTAGAACTGAACTAGAACTGAACTAGAACTGAACTAGAACTGAACTAGAACTGAACTAGAACTGAACTAGAACTGAACTAGAACTGAACTAGAACTGAACTAGAACTGAACTAGAACTGAACGAACTAGAACTGAACTAGAACTGAATGAACTAGAACGAACTAGAACTAGAACTGAACTAGAACTGAACTAGAACGGAACTAGAACTGAACTAGAACTGAACTGAACTAGAACTGAACTAGAAACTGAACTAGAACCGAACTAGAACTGAACTAGAACTGAACTAGAACTGAACTAGAACTGAACTAGAACTGAACTAGAACTGAACTAGAACTAAACTAGAACTCAACTAGAATGAACTGAACTAGAACTGAAACTTAGTAGTAGTTAGTTAGTTAGTTAGTAGTTAGTTAGTTCGTTAGTTAGTAGTAGTTAGTTAGTAGTTAGGTTAGTAGTTAGTTAGTTAGTTAGTTAGTTAGTTAGTTAGTTAGTTAGTTAGTAGTTAGTTAGTTAGTTAGTTAGTAGTTAGTTAGTTAGTTAGTAGTTAGTTAGTTAGTTAGTTAGTTAGTTAGTTAGTTAGTTAGTTAGTTAGTAGTTAGTTAGTTAGTTAGTTAGTTAGTTAGTTAGTTAGTTAGTTAGTTAGTTAGTTAGTTAGTTAGTTAGTTAGTTAGTAGTTAGTTAGTTAGTTAGTTGTAGTAGTTAGTTAGTTAGTTAGTTAGTTAGTTAGTTAGTTAGTTAGTTAGTTAGTTAGTTAGTTAGTTAGTTAGTAGTTAGTTAGTTAGTTAGTTAGTTAGTTAGTTAGTTAGTTAGTTAGTTAGTTAGTTAGTTAGTTAGTTAGTTAGTTAGTTAGTTAGTTAGTTAGTTAGTTAGTTAGTTAGTTAGTTAGTTAGTTAGTTAGTTAGTTAGTTCGTTAGTTAGTTAGTTAGTTAGTTAGTTAGTTAGTTAGTTAGTTAGTTAGTTAGTTAGTTAGTTAGTTAGTTAGTTAGTAGTTAGTTAGTTAGTTAGTTAGTTAGTTAGTTAGTTAGTTAGTTAGTTAGTTAGTTAGTTAGTTAGTTAGTTAGTTAGTTAGTTAGTTAGTTAGTAGTTAGTTAGTTAGTTAGTTAGTAGTTAGTTAGTTAGTTAGTTAGTTAGTTAGTTAGTTAGTTAGTTAGTTAGTTAGTAGTTAGTTAGTTAGTTAGTTAGTTAGTTAGTTAGTTAGTTAGTTAGTTAGTTAGTTAGTTAGTAGTTAGTTAGTTAGTTAGTTAGTTAGTTAGTTAGTTAGTTAGTTAGTTAGTTAGTTAGTTAGTTAGTTAGTTAGTTAGTTAGTTAGTTAGTTAGTTAGTTAGTTAGTTAGTTAGTAGTTAGTTAGTTAGTTAGTTAGTTAGTAGTTAGTTAGTAGTTAGTTAGTTAGTTAGTTAGTTAGTTAGTTAGTTAGTTAGTTAGTTAGTAGTTAGTTAGTTAGTTAGTTAGTTAGTTAGTTACTTAGTCAGATAGTTACAAATTCTAGCAAAATTAAAACAAATGTTTTCATTGTATACACAAAACCACTTATCAGCTTATTAAAAACACTTAATGCCTATTTTAATATATGTTCCCGGTTAAAAATCCCCATAAACACCTTTTTATCTTAGCATGAATGCTTTTTTACAAATTTGTTAGCAAAATCACAAAAAAACACAAAAGTTTTAAACTCATTCGTTAAATTTTTACAATCACAATTTTTTGAGGTGATAAGAACATTTTAGCTGGAAAAAAGATAAATACCAATAAATATGTATTTTTTTCTAGATATTAAATGAATAATGCTTTAAATCATTTTAGTATTGAATAGATTGTCGATATAAAAAAACACGCTAAAACAAAAAATTATAATATCAAACTACAAACCAGAAAAATACTTTACAAATACACTACTTGAGTTGAGGAAACACGCATTAATAATAAAAATTAATTAAAATATTTGCAAATAAATGTGTTTAGTTAAATGTAAGGCAAGATAGAATAGAAATAAGTAAGAAAAAAAGTGTTGGACTTAGCCGACTATGTGAAGTTCTACAATAGGAAAAGATTTTTTGTTTCAAGTTTCATTGAATGTATTACAGAGATAAATGTTTTGAAATTTATTACAATACTGTTATTAATATGACATTTCTAAGTGTTAGAGATATTTTCAAAAGCAGACTTAACTTTATTTAGCCACCTTGATTCAACTATGTCCATACATCAATGTAAAAGGTAATCAAGCTACAGATCGAGAATTGCATATAATTCAATGTAAATGATGGTTTGTTGGTGGTTGTTCTTCATGTTAGAAGATTCTGATATTGATGCTGTCATGATGCTCTTGTCAACGTATATCTCAAAAATTTGATACAATATTGTTCTAATGGTCGAATGAATTGGTTAGTTCGCATATAAAGTCTTTGAATATGTATCGAAATAGATAGTGATTTGGTATATGTACGTAATTACGGCTCGCTGTTTGGGTATGGGATACATACATAGAATTGAACTAGAACTGAACTAGAACCGGACTAAAACTGAACTAGAACTGAACTAGAACTGAACTAGAACTGAACTAGAACTGAACTAGAACTGAACTAGAACTGAACTAGAACTGAACTAGAACTGAACTAGAACTGAACTAGAACTGAACTAGAACTGAACTAGAACTGAACTAGAACTGAACTGAACTAGAACTGAACTAGAACTGAACTGAACTAGAACTGAACTAGAACTGAACTAGAACTGAACTAGAACTGAACTAGAACTGAACTAGAACTGAACTGAACTAGAACTGAACTAGAACTGAACTAGAACTGAACTAGAACCGAACTAGAACTGAACTAGAACTGAACTAGAACTGAACTAGAACTGAACTAGAACTGAACTAGAACTAAACTAGAACTAAACTAGAACTGAACTAGAACTGAACTAGAACTGAACTAGAACTGAACTAGAACTGAACTAGAACTGAACTAGGACTGAACTAGAACTGAACTAGAACTGAACTGAACTAGAACTGAACTAGAACTGAACTAGAACTGAACTAGAACTGAACTAGAACTGAACTAGAACTGAACTAGAACTGAACTAGAACTGAACTAGAACTGAACTAGAACTGAACTACAACCTGAACTACAACTGAACTAGAACTGAACTGAACTGAACTAGAACTGAACTAGAACTGAACTAGAACTGAAACTAGAACTGAACTAGAACTGAACTAGAACTGAACTAGAACTGAACTGAACTAGAACTGAAACTAGAACTGAACTAGAACTGAACTAGAACTGAACTAGAACTGAACTAGAACTGAACTAGAACTGAACTAGAACTGAAACTAGAACTGAACTAGACTGAACTAGAACTGAACTAGAACTGAACTAGAACTGAACTAGAACTGACTAGAACTGAACTAGAACTGAACTAGAACTGAACTAGACTGAACTAGAACTGAACTAGAACTGAACTAGAACTGAACTAGAACTGAACTAGAACTGAACTAGAACTGAACTAGAACTGAACTAGAACTGAACGAACTGAACTAGAACTGAACCTGAACTGAACTAGAACTGAACTAGAACTAACTGAACTACAACTGAACTACAACTGAACCTAGAACTAACTAGAACTGAACTAGAACTGAACTAGAACTGAACTAGAACTGAACTAGAACTGAACTAGAACTGAACTAGAACTGAACTAGAACTGAACTAGAACTGAACTAGAACTGAACTAGAACTGAACTAGAACTGAACTAGAACTGAACTAGAACTGAACTAGAACTGAACTAGAACTGAACTAGAACTGAACTAGAACTGAACTAGAACTGAACTAGAACTGAACTAGAACTGAACTAGAACTGAACTAGAACTGAACTAGAACTGAACTAGAACTAGAACTAGAACTGAACTAGAACTGAACTAGAACTGAACTCGAACTGAACTAGAACTGAACTAGAACTGAACTAGAACTGAACTAGAACTGAACTAGAACTGAACTAGAACTGAACTAGAACTGAACTAGAACTGAACTAGAACTGAACTAGAACTAGAACTGAACTAGAACTGAACTAGAACTAGAACTGAACTAGAACTGAACTAGAACTGAACTAGAACTGAACTAGAACTGAACTAGAACTGAACTAGAACTGAACTAGAACTAGAACTGAACTATATTTCAGTTCAGTTGTAGTAAATTTTTAAGCCAAACACGATGTACGGAAAATTTGTCATTTTCATATTCAGCATTTTAATATGGGTAAGTTAAAATAACTTAACTGAACTAGAACTGAACTAGAACTGAACTAGAACTGAACTAAACTAGAACTGAACTAGAACTGAACTAGAACTGAACTAGAACTGAACTAGAACTGAACTAGAACTGAACTAGAACTGAACTAGAACTGAACTAGAACTAAACTAGAACTGAACTAGAACTGAACTAGAACTGAACTAGAACTGAACTAGAACTGAACTAGAACTGAACTAGGACTGAACTAGAACTCAACTAGAACTGAACTAGAACTGAACTAGAACTGAACTAGAACTGAACTAGAACTGAACTAGAACTGAACTAGAACTGAACTAGAACTGAACTAGAACTGAAATAGAACTGAACTAGAACTAAACTAGAACGGAAGTGGAACTAGAACTGAACTAAAACTGAACTAGAACTGAACTAGAACGGAACTAGAACTGATCTAGACCTGAACTAAAATTGAACTAGAACTGAAATCTATATTAAATATTCCTGAATTTCCAAATGACTCAACAAACTTTCAATTCCTACTCTTTTACTATAGTGTATTTGTATATAACAAGATACTAATAACTAGAATGAAGGCACTCCTACAAGTATGAATTCATAAAATTAATTAGAAATAAATTTGTTAAATCATATTGTTAGCAAACAAACAAAATATCCTGTTAAACATATTTCAGTTCAGTTGTAATAAATTTTTAAGCCAAACACGATGTACGGAAAATTTGTCATTTTCATATTCAGCATTTTAATATGGGTAAGTTAAAATAAATTTATTATAATTTAATAAGATTTTCAAGTTTTTCCGCCTCTAAACATTTTAGTCATATTCCCTGGCTTTGGATCAAATAGAACTTACACAATCTGTTAGAGAGGAGCCAGAGTTGGAGGCACCCGATAACGATAGCAGCATTTTTATAACATGTGATTTTGATTTGGAAAATATTGAAAGTTTATTACAATATCTACCCGATATTTGTACGGAAATTTATAATAATCGTTCGTCTAGTGATTTATACGATTTATATTTAGAGGAATCACAAAATTTTGCCAAATTTTATAAGAAATTAAATGATTATGAATTGCGTGATCAGCCTCAAGGTGATAAACAAGAATTGAACAAATATCCCTTTGAAACAAAACTACGTAATGAAACCTACAGCAAAGCCGATTGGTCGCAATGTGTAACCACCTCTAACAGTTCAGCTTCGGATTATTTAAAGTGTTTGAAGGAGAAACGTTTGGAATTGGCAGAATTGATACCCAATGTGGAGAAAAACTAAACTGAAGAATTATTTGTTATTTATGAAGTTGTTAAATTATATTTAATATATAATTTTGATAATAAACATTTTGGATATTGTGCCTTAAATGGTAGCTGGGGTAAAAAATGTACCGTTTATTATGGATTTATCAAGGTTTGTGTCACTTATTTTTAAGCAATTAACTATAAATTATGGATCGACCCTCTCAAAATTTTTATCGTTGCAGTTACATACGTCTCTTTCTATCTGTTATTATGTTTTGAAATATCTTTTCAATATCACATTTCTTGAAATGATATGATAAGATAACGATATTTTTTCACTCTTCATCAAGATTTTTATGGACTCTTTGTCATTTATTACTAAAGTTTGTTTAAAAGTTTTAAGAAAATGTAAACTTACCGGCATTTCAATTGTTACTACTGTAGGCTTCAATAATAAATACTTACCCGATGTTGTTTTGCAAAATCTTTAAAATAAAACCCCTTTAGTTTCAAATTTCTTAGAGTTTTTTATTTAATTTTAACGGTTTTTTCACTTTTTTGGTCTCCACTCAGAGGTCTAAATATCAACCCAATTAAGCTGGAAATCTGTCATTTGACAAGAAAGACCAACATTTTTTACCGTATTGAGCACTAATTCTTGCACAGCGCAATAATAGTAAATATCTAGGAGTTATCATTATATGAAACGCATAATGACCTCCCCACTATAGCGGTGGGGAGGGTATATATGTATAATACCGCAACAGAAGGTTCTGCCTACAAGTGGTGCCATGAACACTACCTCAAACGAAGCTGAGGAAACACTACTAGATATCCTACTAATCGAAATAAGTATAAGATTCATGACCCGGCGGTCCTTATCTACAAAGCCGATTACATGACACGTTATCAATGTATACTAGATAGATGTGCCCGATAGCATAAGGGAAACAGAAATTGTCGGTAACAGTTCTTTTCTATCTTGGTGTTATTGCAATCCGGGGGAAAAGAGGTGCTAACCTCTAGTCTGCTGGTGTCAAATGTATTCTCAGCCTTTGCTTGGAATGATTTGATCTGGAATCGAACCAGGGAGCCTAATATAATCTGGTAACACGGGAACCTGTAGCCCACAGGGCAGAGGTTCGGACTTTGTCTTGTCCCGGTTATTGAAGAGGTCCCTTCGTGGTGCACATTGTGGCTGTAGTTTAAACCCAAACTCGCGGGAAGAGAATGTTGGTTAAAAGACTGATTCACGGTAAAGTCTATAATTCGGAATAAATTCAGTGCTGTTGTCGAAAAAGACAAGTGACTGTGGGACTAAGCGTTGAAAATGGGTTGGTGTTAAATTAATAAGATACGGGATGGAGTAAGTGGTATACGGGTCCAGCAATATGAGACTATGTCAAATATTTTTCTCAATAAATTTTTCGGATAAATGAGAAGTGTGCTGGGTTGAATTTTCCCTCCTTGTCAAGGTATGTTCAGAGTTTATTCTATTCATTCACAGAGTTAGTTAGTGTGAGTGAGAACATGTCTTTATATTATTTGATGGATTCGTATTTCGGTCTACCCATTACGTCTCTCTAGGTGTTGTTGCCAAATTAACAGAGACCATCCCATCTGTTGGGAGACAATACAGGTATGGGGATCTACATTGAAAATCCTTGTATATGGCACCAACGGAGGTAAGCATATTTTTCGGCAGCCAGAAGGCAATTAGGATGATATCAAATGATAACTCTACCAGTTGTAAGCTCTGCATCATATGGACATCAAAACACTCGGGTATAATCAGCATGAAAGATCAAATGCACTTGGAATGGAATATATCTAGGAAATACTATTGCCGAACTTCAGCTCGCTTTAAATCCATATCTTTAGCTATTTTGCATTAATAACAAGGTTTGCTTTTTTTGTTAAATAATATGACCCAATATTTTGGGAAAATTTCATCCGCCTAGTTCCTTTCTTCTGGTCCTCATTACTCTCTTTAGATAACCTTTAAAAAATCCAAAACATTTCTGCTTTCTGAGATCATGTATTTAAACTTCATTAAATTATGCGTTCTATGGCTTCCTTTTTGAATTTTGTTGTTCCTTTTCCCGGGTGAAAATTTTGAAAAGTATCTTAACAATAAGGCAAATTTCTAATATTTGGCAACACTAATATAACAGTTAATGTGTTAATAACATTTAAAATTGCCACACGAACTGGTTGTTGTCTTTGGTAATAGAGAAACTTATTGTTATTGTAATACAAACAGAATCGTTAGAAAATAGTTGGCAATGGTTGTTGAATAGGATGTAAATTTTGATAAAGTTTAACCCCCTCATTTTATAAAACGAAACTTTCGTTAACGTAAAAAAATTGTATGAAGAATACTGGGAAATTTTTGAAAATTTGAATTTTTTCCATACAATTTTTTTTTGAACGTTTGTCGTTTCGTTTTATAAAATGAGGGGGTAAGAATATTGGAAAATTTTTGAAAATTTTTTCCATACAATTTTTCTAACATGTGTCGCTTTATAAAATTAGACAAGTACAGTTCTTTCTGAAATGAGTTTCGAACCGGGTTTAAATAGTTGATTATTCGATGACCTGAAGCATTAAAGTTGAAATGATCGTGCAAAGGTATATGTGTA